GACGATCCGCTTCGCGCATCTGCTCTTCAGAGATTCCGCCGCCGTCGTCGTATTACCCGTATTATCGTCTCTTCCAACTCGCGCCAATATCTCGTTGTCGTCGATTTTGCGGGACATTCTCGGCCCCGGAGAGTCTCTTCGCCGAAAGGTCTTCCCTCTGCACGCGCGGAAGTCACGACATCGCGCCGCGCCGCCGCCGCCGCCGTCTCGCCTATTTCTCTACGTGCGCCAGAAGGATGGCGCGGCGCCTAATCGTCCTCGAGAAATTCAATTTCGACGATGCCGATGGCCGGCCTAACTCCGAAAGACGCATCGGTATCCAGGCCAAAGACCTAACCTACCGCAGCCCTCTCTCGCTTCGTATACTTCGCTTCGACCGAAACTGCCAGGCCACGGCACGACGACGATCGATATGCCCCGCGTTCCGAGAAGCTCTCCTTCTTCCGCGCGCGCGAGTTCAAGAATCTCAAAACTTTCACATCGATTTTCCCTCGATCGCGATAACGTGTCAGGCAGTCGTCACGATCCTGACCCAGGGTATACGACACCTTCGTGCCGGGGATTAATTGCGCTCCGCGATAATTGTGCTCGGGCCGCAATCCGGCCGTGTCACACTTTGGAGGGATATCGACCTTGCAATACGCGGAAAGCCGAAAAATTATATTCGCACGCAACTTAATCAAGCCATAAATTTTCCCGCCTAACAGGAAACGTTTCCATTATTACAAAGCTCGAGATAAAAATGGAATTTCGTGCGAAAAAGTTACAGTTTTAAGATATTTCTCGCGCACGTCAGCGTTGCAGCGTTTTCCCACCATTAATTCGAATTCCTAATCAAAGCACTTTGAGAACTTGATCCCATTTTTTATTTCAAATACTTTTGTTTATCTTTAGCAAATCCCAAAAAAAAAGTCGGACAGCCACGATTCCGATATATAGCTAGAAATATTTAAACAATTTCCACAGCGCGACAAAAGATCATAAAAAATCGAATGCTCTATATATTCTAAAAAAATGCAGATTGTACAGTCAGCGACAGAAGTCTGGTAAGACGCCACGATAATGACATTTAATAACATCGAAGGGTGAAAATAATTTCGCTCACCCGCGGTAGTCCGAGGTAAACGCACACATCTCGACGTGCGTTTGTGGCGCTGTGGATTATAGACGCCTTACGTAAAGTGCGAACTCGCGGCGGCCGGCTTATTTACGCGCCGGGGCGCTAACTGCTGAGTATACGAAACGTCTTTTGCATTTTCAATGAAGTTGTCGGGTGCAACGCCTACGGAACGCCGACGGGCCCGAGTGAGAACAACGACAGCGGGACAAATTATTCTAACGCACGCCACGTCCGCGCCCTAGACGCGCGCGGTTATAGTCGCGAAAATTGCAGAGACGACGATACACGCAATCAATATAAACGCGCCTGAGTTACACGCACCTAACGACCGCCGCGCGGCCGAAAATTTAACACGACGATATTTATCTTTTTCGTCATTCTCTCCCTCTCCCATCCTTTCACTCGTACATGCACGCGCGCGCGGTTTGCAAACTCTCGTTACCGAAATACAACATTTATTTCACCGCGCGGGATTGCGGCTAATTGCGAAATTAGTTTCGGATTTTCATACACCGGGCACTACCGTCATCCAGTTTGTTCCAACGACCCAAAAGCCCAATTCATGACAAAATAAATTTATTCCGTGGCCGAATCCGCGCCACCGGTAGGTACATATTCCGCTCGTCTAATTTCTGTCACTGACGAATTCCATTAACCGCTTTGAAACATTTAGAACGACCGAATTCTCGGACAAGGATCTTCCGGACGGAAAATCGATACCGCTGATTTCCATGGCCGACGGGGAGCAGTATAGCACCCTCATCCCCGGGATCGTGATCGACTTCGGTTTCCGTGCCGTCGTGCTCTTAACCAGCCAGCGGGACAGCGGTTACGCGACAGTAAATTCTTGCGTGGTTCGAGAATACGTAATTGGCCAATACACAAGGAAGGAACAGGGTCGAAAGGGAGTTTGAGGGACAGAGAGAGATAGAGAGAGGAGAAAACAAAGAGAGAGGGAAGACAGACAGAGAGAGAGAGAGAGAGAGAGAGAGAGAGAGAGGAGGAAGGAAGAGAAGGAGGAAGGGAAAGGGAGAAAGAGAGGTATATAGAAATATGGATGGCGGGCTTCCCGACAAGGCGGTAATGCTGGACCGTAGCAAATGTAGCCGTTAATTGCAATTCCCATTTACACGAAAGTCGGATGTACGGATACGGCGCGTGTATGTAGGAGCGTGTAACGCGCGCTCGCACGTGACTATACCGTGAGGATGCGATACACGTTACACGGGCGGCGGCGGCGCACGTGTAACGGGTGTGTACGTACTTATACACGTAGGTACACCACATACCTTAGGTCTAATTCGCACGGGGGCGCGGTATACAGCGCGCTATCTCTTCCGTGCTACGACCTTTCTTCCGCGCTCACGGTTCATTTATCCCGTATTCCCGCTGCCGCTTGCCGAATCGCGGGCGTTACATTTCGGTGCGGGACTCGCTTTTACACTCGCGCGCGCGCGTGATATTCCGCCCTCCCGTATAAGTGTTCATTAAAGTCGACGGTTATTCCGTAGAAACGTTAACGCCGACGAAGCGGCGGCGACAGCGACGGCGACGGCGACGGTGGATTTATACGGAAACCCGGAAGGATGTTAGGTTCCCGACGACGACGGTGGCGTATAGCCCGGGCGCGGTTTCCGCGTGCGTCCCGACGATTTGACACGCATTAATTAATGGTCCCGGCCCGCTATCTGGGTTACGCGTTGATTCATAATTAATCTAAAGCACGACGATAACGTAGCATTTAATATTCGCATACGTCGGACGGTGGTGCACACGAACGCGCGGATGAAAAATGTGCACCGCATCGATGGAGCGGCGCGTAGCGTCGTGTGTTGCGTCATTACGATATCGAACGAAAAATCATCATCAATCCGCGTATCGTCGCGCAGCACACTTTCTGCCCTGTCGAACACGATGACGTTCTACACGCCCCCCGATCAGTCAGTAACGTCGGCGGGATCACGTCGCGCGACGCGACGCGATGCTGTATAAGTTATAATGTCGCTCGCTCGCGCGTCGCCGTGTTACCAGCCACGATACACGATATTTCGTTTCATCTTCCCGGTGTTGTGAGAATAGCAGCCTCGGTGGCTAGCTCCACTCGTACCATCGGCAAGGAGATACAAATTGAAAAATGTGAACCCGACTCCCCGCCCGGTTGCCGAGCTTGAAAACGCAGCCCGCACGGCGGCGGCGTCTTCTTCCGCGAAGTAACATCCACTTTTACTCCGGGCTCTCCTTTATGCGTTCCGCTACCTGGGCAAAACCCGGAGGAAGCGAAATAGAACATTGTAAAATTCTCCGAACGACCCCTGCACCGATTGCGGGATTTAAACGACTATATACCTCGCTCCGCCGCGAGGACCTTACCGACTTTCCTTCGAGACCTTCCGCCGTTCTCCAAGCTATATTTCTCATTAACGACACGCAAAACATCGAGAGCTCCCTCCATTCTTTCCGCGAGTGCACCTCCCGCGCGCGTGCTCTCCGATCGATATTAATTCCCGGATATCTCTTCAAAACGATATACGCCGAGAGGTACTTTCGCGCTTACGCCGAACGTGTTAATGAAAACTAAATATGTGTGTCTATTATCTCGTCTGCTTCTGGTAGTACGGAATTAATTCAGAGATAATACGGTCTTATCGTACTCGACGGCCCTCGCAAAAAAATCCACAAGTTTATAAGGCTTGTAAAAAGAAAGCGGATATATACGTGAAAGTACGAAGCGAAATTATACGAAAAATAATGAAGACAAATTAGTCAGTTTAGATATACGGCAATACGTAAATACGATAATGGCATGAAGTTTATAAATGATATCCATGGCAGATTGATGGGACAGATTAATGGTTAAATATGACAATATGTAGATACATTAATGACATAAAGTTTATGAATATTATCCCTGGCAGATTGATGGAACGGTGTGGGGTATCCCGGTGTCACAGTTCGTTATTCCAACAGCTCGTATTAATCCAAAAAGTCGAGACGATTCGCCGAAGAGAAAGAGAGACAGAAAGAGAGAGAGTAAATGCCGTATAATTCTTTTATTTTTTCGCCAAACGAGATATTCGCGAATTTTCATTATCATTAAAACCGCACGTACGTTAAGAATTCAGACCATATATTTCCGCGTATTTGCGTTAGCGCGGAAAGTCCATCGCGAACGTTAATTAACGTTTTCACAATTTCCCCGCTATGAGTTTGCACCGGTCAACCCGGAAAGCCTTGCACAATCGAACTTTTGTAACGAGGCTTTCGATTTTCTACTAACGCTTGCTTTGTCGGCCGGGCCCGGCTCCAATTTTTTTCCATTTCCATTTGTTTGCAACTTTACACGTATTATTACCCGCATACACAAATTCAAATATGCACAATGTTGATGCACAGCCCCCTTCGCTATGCCGAGAAAAACGATCGATATAACATTTATAGCCTCTGTGCAGCGACCGGCGAGGAGAGTCAATGGCAGCATTTCTCCGCGAGAGACTATATTTACGAGCGGCGATCGAAAGGTTGAAGTAATTTTGATGTCACGTCTCTCGCGCGCGCACGGCGCTGAATAGCCGGAGACGCTGTGTTTACCGGAAGTCTCTATAGTCTCTCGCGCACTTTCTTAGTCGCAAAGAGAGTCGCTATTTTCCTTACACTGCACACTAAAAATAAATTGTAATTCCCTCTCCGCGATGTCGATAATTTATTTTTACGATCATATTTTTACGTTCGTAGTATACAAGTTTATAAGTATTATATAAGTTTAATGAAGATCGTGTCGTATGAACGACCTAGGAATCTTCCGGCTTATCGAGCCAAGTATCCGACAACAGCGTTGTACCCGAAATCCTCGAGTTATCTAGGTAACCGGACGTGTACTCACCGTAAAGTCCACCCGCCATGGCAGCCTTGAAGACGACCCATATGAGATAAGCATAGATTATCCGCCCGCCCTTCCACGCGTTCATGATGCCCATGGCTTTTATCGGTGTCCCTTTTGGAACCACTTCGACCCCAATCTAACTCAATTGACGTTGATTAAAACCGCTCACGCACTCTCTCTCGACTCCGTACTCCTCCTCCCCCTCCTCCTTTTCCACCACTCTCACTCTTCCCCCCCTCGTCCTGCTCACACACGAATCGTTTCAGGTGCCTAAATGCGAGTGTCACCGTACCGACGAATTCGTACGGACTTCCGGTAGTCGAGTCCGATTCGAAATGAGTATCCCACGCCGCACATATCTCCCTCGGTCTATGTCGTCGTCTATTTCTCTCTCTCACTCTCTGTTAGTCGAGGATCAGATCCTCGTCCGTGCGAACGGCGAACCGGTCCACAGCAGCGCGAATTTTACCGTATACCGTGACAGGGCGCGATACCGGCGTATATACAGGAAGTTTCGTTACACTTACGATCGGACGTGTAACGACAAGCGTCGGAGGGCACGAGACCGCGAGCACGCGATCCACCACTCGTGTATATACCTGTGTATATATATTCGCGCACTGCTTGAGAGAATGAGAATGAGCAGGCGCGCGCGCGCGCGATATAAACGAAACCCGACGAGGGAGGAGTTACGAACAAGCGCGATATAACAGAGCCGACACTTTTCACATTCACTGGGAGTCTGTATGTGCGCGCCGTGTTTACGGGCGCACGAATGCATACACGTCTAAGAGCGCGCACGGTTTCGCGCCAATCTCATTTTATTAAATTAGTTGTAATTGTTTGTGTGTTTTTTTTTAAGCGTTCGCGTGGATTTTTATAGATTAGCCTCTTCCTCCGCCGTATCCCAGATTCCTTCCTTTTTTTTTCGCTCTCGCCCTTGGGCTCACATACGCGGCTCGATCTCACGGAAGTAAGAGCGCTCGTTTCTTCTGATCGATTCGCGAGCTAAACCAGATTGTCGGGACGTACACTGATACGCGAACGGGCAATATCCGCGATATCGCGCGGAATCCGTAACCTAATGTAGCGATCGGAGATTGGATGTGCGCCATTGACGATGTACGCTGTTGCGACCGCTTCGTGCGACGCACGATCGTCTCAATTATTATAAATGAATTGTGAGAGATAGGGAGGGAGAAAGAGAGAGAGAGAGAGCGCGCGCGAGATGCAACCCGTCTTTGCGCGCGCGGTGGGGCTTCCTTTCGGGGTCCCTCAACCACGTCGTTCCGCCTCGCGTAATCGCGCGGTGGAATCAGCCCTCGGCGAGGAAGATTCCTCGGTATCGTTCAACGGAGCGGAACTAACGGCCGAACTTTCGCCGACGTTACGTCCGAAGGCATCACTCATAGGTAAAATCTTGCACCGTCTCTTCCACGGATGCACTGCGAAAATCCCGGAGCGAACTAACACTGCCAATTTTCCGGCCAGGCTGGCCCCGAAGTCTCTCCTCCCGTCTCCCCTCGACTTAGGAAACCAAACACAAGGAACTTTTCTTCCGTCACTCGCAAAAATTCGCCGAAATTTGCGCTCCCGGAGAGAGAGAGAAAGAGAGACGGTCCAGCGTTTCCTTCGAAAACGTTCACGACATCTCGCTGGATGTGACGTTCTTTCTCGTGTCCTCGCGCTCTCGACTCACAGAATTCACCGAGTCCCGCAGATGTCTCCTCCTCACGATCTCATTTCTCGTTTTGTTCCGAAACCGAAAAAAGCCGGCGATGCTTAGTCGCCGTTGACCTCTCCCGGAAATCAACGCGAAAGCCCTTGAATCTGACGTCGGCCTTCTTCTACATGACTGCCGAATCTCGATGTTCCCTCGCTTCAAGACGACCTTTATTCACGTTATCTCTAACCATTTGGAAAAAAAGTTTCGCCAGAGTCACGCCGGAGTTTCCCTTCGCGCCACGTGTTTCTCGCTCCTTTGTATCCCCGATCTACAGTTTTAGCGAAACACATTTACACATCGATCGTCCGCGCGCTGCACCTGGGCATACGTCCGTCCGGTAATCGCGCCGGAGTGACCACTGACTGATCGCGAGTAAATCGGACCTCTCGCCGCGTTCCCTTCTTCGCGCTCTTCGAAATCCGGACGGTGCTCCACCAGCTCGCGGCGCGAGCAACATCCAAAGTTCGATCGCGCGGGCGAGCGCCTCTCGATATCGCGCGCGCTGATATCCGCGGTGGTTTTAAACACACGTGCCAAATCACGATGGATTACGGACGTGTCGCGTGTATCACTGTAAAAGTAAAGACCGAAACTAGTAGCCGGCGCGGAAAGTGGACTCGCGGGTTCGATTATACGGATAAGAGGAGAGCGAGTGCCAGGAGGACGCCAGTAGGAAAGAAGACGCGAGGGGGAGGGGGGGGAAGAGGAGCGAGATAGAGAGAGAGAGAAAGGAAAGAAGACGAACGGGACGGAGCGCGCGAGAGGCGGGAGAGACTGGGGGATACACACATCCAGGGCTGGTCGTCGAACCGGTTTCCTTCTAGAGATCGCAACTGGCCAATTGGAAATACCACTGACAACGAGTCCGTCGGCCGAGCCGTTTTACGATCTCGCCGATCGCCGCGCGCGCGGCCGGAGATCCAGATAAAACACGCGACCGCCCCGCGCGTCGCGCGCTGGACCGAGCCGAGCCGAGCCTCGCACACGAGATCCCGACGGGCGTCGATCGCGCGTCGAGAACCTGCTGCCGGCCGGTATCGCTAATGCGCCCAGCGAGAGCTGAAGGAATTTCCACGATGAATCGAGAACGAGTGCACGCCGTTGACGTCGAGAACGAGAATGTTACAGATTCCTTTGCCGCCCGAGCTCGTTAGACCAGAACTCCGTGGATTTTAATAGACGACCCAGCGAGAGGGGAAATATTTCTTACGAGTTGCTCTTAGCACTTTAAGTTTGAAAAAAAAAAACTATGCAATATGACTCGCTTTTTATTCAATCATATTTTATAGTGTAATTATTTATGAATTTAAAAAAAATCACAAAAGTACTTCAAAAGCGGGAGAGATCTTATACAAAATGCAACGATTTCTTTATTCTTTCAGAACGCAATAACCGAATTCTGCTCGCTGGTCCGTCGAAACTGCCACTCACGAGGCCGGCTGCGCGATTTTTCAACGTTCGACACGATCCAGAACTCGCGCGCGGATTTCGCGCATTTATTTTTACTTCCACTCCGGCGAGCGACGGTGTATGTACGTGCGGGCGCGCGCGGGTATGCACAGAAGTGTTGCGCTGCGTCCGACCGCGATTAACGATTGTTGCATAAGCAGGTTATAATACGTGGTATTACTGATACCGCGGTGGCAAGTATCGTTGGCTGATTAATAAACACGGCTCGCAGGAAAAAAAAGACAATTATTAATTTACCGTGCCCACGGGAAGACGGCGAAAAAAACCAATTACGTTCCGCTGAATTTTTCCTTCCGCCACCGGGATACACGTATCCGGTCTGATAAAATAAATTAATCGGCCGCGCGCGCGAGCTTTTTGCGCTGTCGGAGGAAGAAAGGAATGAACCGTCGTCGCGCTCGGTTCATTCGCGCGAAGCTCGAGTCGTAGACGAGCCTCAAGTCATAACCGACCAAGTCGATATATAAGAGGGACTACTCTCGGCAACTCCTCCGGTTCTTACGCGCGAGAGGTACGAGGCAATGAGCGGCGATGCACAATACGCAACAAGAACGGTAATCCGACTAACTTTTAAGCGACACTCCGCTCTTTTACTCCAAATGGGACCTAAACAATTACGCCCCGCGGGAACTTCTTAATGAAAGGCAGAAGAGGTGGGGAAACGCACGGGGAGAACTATTGAAATACAAACGTCGATTAAGCAATGGGACTATTTAAGTGCATTTCGCTCTCGACCTACATCGATCAAGATCAAGAGGGAACCGGCCCGGTTCGACTCGACCATCAATGAACGTACTCTCAGCATAAATTCCCTTCATCTTCGATTCGTACGTTTATTCTCAGCCATTGTCCGGCCATCGGGACGTTGAGGTGCGAGGAGAAAACGATAAAAGCATTGAGAAATGAAAAATGTAAGCGTGCGATCCTCGGGACGGGAGGCTATCGTATTCCTTCCGGACGACGGCAATCGACGTAATTCTCCGCGCTCGAGGGAGACGCGCGGCATTGACGTCCCGTAATCGTCACAGTGATAAGAAGCATCTTATCATGGCGTCATGTATCTCTCATATTTTTCCCCGAATTTACTGTTCCCCCACATGATATCCCCTATGTGGATACTCCGATCTCTCTCTGCAGCGGCGGCAGTTCTCTCGTCGCACTGGACCCTATATATATATATATAAGCCGGCCGTGTGTGTCGCGCCGCTCGGTCGGAACGCTGACGGACGGACGGACGCGCGAGATCGGCAGAAGGTGAGAGGACACGAAGGACGCCGCGACGCTGCGCGTCCCGCAGAATCACGATCCGCACTGGTACGCCATCGAGCGTTAGAGAAACTTCAGCAACCCTCCGACATCCCGGCTCCCCACTCTTTCACTCACCAACCGAGCCGTATACACGTGCGGGAGTACGCGCCTGTGTGTATGTCCGTGTACGTGTGTGAGTAAATACGTGTACACGCTTCGAGCGTGTGCGTGTGCCCCATCCGCTCGTGTCCTCGTGCGTGTGTACGAGCGGCAAGAATACCCACACCAACGTGGACGCCATTCCAACCACGGGTTCTCCAGCGACGGACTTCGCGCGCGCACACAGGGTTGGTCGGGGGTGTACGATCGGGTGCGCGAGCGCACCAGGGGCTAGCCCTCCCTTCCTCCGTCACCCTACCCTCCTCCGCCGCCACCACCATCACCATCACCACCACCACCACCACCATCACCACCACCACCAGCACCAGCACCACTACTGGCACATCGACACGCTTTCCGTCTTTCTCTCAAGCCCGAACGAGCTGCGCGCGACCGTCCCTCTTGCGCCGCGGTGTTTTCTCCCTGATATCCCTCTCCATCCCTCACTCTTTTCCTTCCTTTTTTGTTCTTCTCGGGGAGAAGGACCTGTGTGTGCCACATGACAATTTCGGATGAAAACATCGTCGAGTGGCTACTAAACCCGTTCAGCGGTGGAGGGAGGGAGGGGGAGGAGGGGATTTGGCAAGTAGCGGAGACCCGCTATCGTCGGTAACAAGCGCGCAAACATCCCCAGGTTGAAAAGGCGACTCTAAACGACGTAGCTTTCCGGATATTTGAAATCGGGGGAGGAAGAGCTGTCTCCTCGATTTAGCCGGGTGGCGAGAAGTCAGTGAGCGACGACACCGGCCCGCACCGGTCGGCGGTGGTCGCCGGTATTCCGCGGCTGATTATCTACCGATGAGAATAAACGGGGGCGACAGTGATAAATTGATAATGACGCGTCGACTCTTGAAGCGCGGTGTGCTGCACGAGCCATGTATCCCGTGAGGTCGGGAATTACGCGGGCAAGACTTTACATCCGAGCGGAATAACAAGCGCAATAACGATAATAATAAATCAAATTTATCGCGCGACAAAGGCGAAGAATTTGTTAACTGGTGAGACAAAAAGCGAGGGAGAGCTAGAAAGAGAGAGAAAGGAAACGAGGGACGGCGGGGCGCGGGGGAAGGGGGGAGGGGAGGAGGAGGAGGAAGAAACGTAGGGGAATAAATCGTTCTCTCGCGGAACATAGCAGCGGGCCTGGCTAACCGGTTACGATACGGGAAGCGCAGGATGTGCGCCGTGGTCGCGCATGCTGCTGGCACGGCGAATAAAACGAGAATAATTCGAGCGCTATTGGATAACGTATCGCGACGCCGAGCTAGCTGGAGAACGAAGTGCGCGTATAGCCGCGCGCGTTCCGTAGCGCGCGAGCCACATACCTATATAGCTGGAAATTGGAACTCCGGCTCGTCCACGGGAGTCGGAGCGAGGTCACGCTAGGGCCACCTAATCCAATGTTTTACAGGTTTACTGATTGCGGTGGAGTGCTGTACGACGCGGCCCTCGAAAGAGAGAGAGAGAGAGAGAGAGAGAAAGAGACGGTCGGACCGTCCCGACCCTTTTCGACCTCCCTTCGGTCCCGTCCCGTTTTCATTCATCCACCTCGCGACATCCTACACCTGTATCATCCTCTCCCTTCCCCACCCCTACCCCTCCTCTCTCCATCTTCATCGCTCTGTTTCGCGCGCGGACGCTGTCCTAATTCTTCGACAAATAAACGCATCATTGGGCAGCCGTAGATTTACCAATCAAACCGGTGCCTGCTTCTATACAGGACAGCGGAAACCCGCCGCGCGGAAGTCGTGCGGAAGCTCACACACACGATTCGGAATAGCAATGAAAACAGACCTTTAAATCTGCCCGTATCTCGCTCGACATTTTCTACGTCTCGCCGTGATTCCCAATCGCCCGGACCTTTTTGGTCGGTCAACGTTCCATTAGTGACTCTACGATACGCTCCGAACTCTTTTTCAATGAACTCATTAACATAAAGACACACACACACACACCTAGTGCGTCGCTAATTCAAATGCAAATTTACACTGCTCAAGAAGCGGAATTGAAGTCAACGAATTCTTTGCTGAGTTTTTACAGAAATCGAGATAAGAACGGTCGATGGTAATGGAATAGCCTAGCAAACAGTTGAATCCAATATTATCGAAATTTATAATTAAATATCGCGTGGTAGGATATTTCGTATTGTGTGTAATAATATTCCTCGCGTTCGATGTAGTATTGTATGTATTATTAAAGATACGGTTTTTCTTTCAATTTCTTTATTCTGAAACGTATCGCGTCGACGTAACGCCTGCCGTTGTTCTAACTTCTAATTCAAGAAGGGTAATTACTTTAGTCGTTGTCTTTGTCTTTCTTTTCTCCCCATCCCTCTCTCTCTCTCTCTCTCTCGCCGAACGATATTCTCTTCCATCAAACGCTCCACTGCGTTCGCGGAACATCTCGCATCAAAGATTATTAACGAACGCCATCGATGAAAGAGACGCGCTTCGTTAAACCCATCGTGTTCATTAATCCGATCGCGAGAGAGGTACGTGCGAGAGTTTATAATAAAACTCGCTTGGTGCCGACAGAGGAGAGCGGGGACTGTTCCATACAGGATAAGTGGCGGAATCTCGTTTCTATAAATTGAAAGTATCGAAAAAAGTGGAACAACGCGGGAACGCAAAAAGGAGAGAACGATAATGGCCGCTTCTTGCATCGCGCTGAACGCTGCGTTAAGTTCGCGGGTAGACGGGTGGCGGATAGATGGGGATGGATAGATGGATAGATGGATAGATGGACGGATGAATGGATGGCCGGGCGGACGGCCTGGACGGACGGACGAATGTCCTTGCGCTATCGATTACAAGGATGGCTTGCGCGACAGACAAGGAAAGAGCGGTAAAGTGATGCAGACAAATGGTAATGTCATTACTTTTATCTCGGTAGTGGCGAAATACAAGCCGAGAAACGCAAGTACTTCGTCTGGAATGAAAGGGAGGGAACTATAACGCGTAGACATGAAGGCGAAAATACATTAAATTAATATAATTACGTGACATAATTAATCGTAAAATATAGGAAATTTATTGCATTTAATTATCGTGTCGTATTACTGAATTTCTATAAACGATTTTCTTCAAGTCCTGAAAAATCGTTTTTAAGGGCGAACGTATATTGAAAAGAAAATTTACAGCTTATATATATATATTTTTGAAGAAATCTTTTCTAAAGGAATTTTGATTCATAAATACGTAACGAGTGTTTATTTATTTCGGGTAATTACGGGTCGTTTTTTGCGACGAGATACGTATTAATGCTGTGTTCATTTTAAAGGAGAGGAACTGGAGTTGTATATCATTTTGATGTCTCGCGGTTTCTCCTGATACGCAAAAATGATAGATCCCAGTGCGGCGGTTTGCCCAAAGGGCAAAGAATAATATGCGCTTGGAATATATTATGAGCCGCGAAAAAAGCTTATAAAGCAAATCCTAAAAGACTTCATTGAATAACGCGAGAGAAGTCTCGAATAAACCACTTCATGTAGCCATTTTCATAAATAATTTATAAAACGTGTTCACCATATGTCCATTATTATACTCGATATCAATGCATCGATAATAAACTTCCATTATTGTTAGATTACATAATCTATCTTTAAAATTCGTTTCAAATGAACTACATTTTGCGGTAAAATTCGAAATAAAACTCTATTTAGTTTCACATGATATATTTTGTAATATATGTATATGTGTTCTGATATATATTTTAAATGTATGTGCATCATGATTCTTTGAATGTTTTTACAGGATATAAAATTATTAATAACGCCTTGTCAAAAATTATAGATTATCAAAAGTGGACTTCAAACGTCGATAATAATTTCTCTATTACAAATGCTACGTCCTTCTTTTTTCAACGTTCAATTATTTACGTACTTTCAATTGTTCTGTTGTCTCTTCTGCGTATTGGTTTTCTTAATCTATCCGGCGAGATAATTATTCAACTTATGAATAATTGATTACACAAATTATCACGAACAGAATCGAGGCACCTCCATTAATAATTGATACCGAGTATACGATTTGTATCATCTAATTGGATATGTTAATCGTATTTAGCCAACTACATGAATATTGAAAAGACAACATTCGGTTAATGACACGTTTACATCGTTATTTATTTACGCGTTGTATTAAAAAGCCCGACGTTAATAATATGTCCGGAAGAGCAACGGTTTATTAATGCCCACATAATGGGGGGAGGGGGGGCCGTGTACATACGCGCGCACATTGGGCGCCTATAAATTATTTATAAAATTAACCGCATCGGTCCGTGTAGCGATCTCCTAAAATCCCCATGACGCGGGCGTTTCGAGAGGATGCTGGGATCCCCAGATCTGCTCCCGACCGGAAGCACGTCCTAAGACGATCGTCGCCCGTGTACCGAAGTCCGGATTAGGTTCCCCTCATAAACGTGAAACCGATTCATCCCCTTCTGCCACAGCGCATGCTGTCTAACCGCAAAGCAGTTTTTCACCACATTGCCATGTTAAATTATGTATTCTTTGCGCATAATATCCGTAGAATAAACACAACATTTTAAGTAATATATGAAAGTTATTACGGATACCAAACTCGATCAAATGACGATACTCTCAATTTCATTACAATTTTGATATCCAAATCTGCACGCGTGAATATGTATGTATACATAAAAAAAAGAGATTGTTTCAACTTAATCATTTTGATAAGTGATATTTTATAAAAATTCCGTAAATTTTAAAAGAGATGAAAACTCTGAATTTCTACACTTTTCCAAAAGCTGCAATTTTCGTGAAAAGATCAAATTCAAAGCGAATGATCGGCAATTGCAAATGTTCACGTGCATTAAGCTATATTTTAAAAATGCATCGGGTAACGAAAATTTAAACGTACAAGAGGTTAAATTTATTTGCTCA